CCCTTAGTCCTTCTTTTCATTAAACGATACATACCCAATTTCTGCAACCATTCTTTATATATTTTAGCTTCTAGTCCCTTAATCATCTTTGATGATTAATATGAAATTATCCATAATCTACATTTTAATTAAAGACATAAATGTGGATATATGTTCTGTAAGTATTGAGAAGTACTAAAGTGTTGACATCAAATGTGTTTAATATTTTATAAGCTTTGTATTTAATTTTCTCATTCTTTTAGTACATTTTGTTTGGATTGTTCTTAGGAAACTATTCATCCTCCCACTCTCTGACATCTAGATGATATTAATATGTACTTTTGTGATATTTATGTAAGTACTTTTTTAAAAAAATCATAGCTTGCTTTGTCAATGTAATTTGATGGTTATAACTTCAACAAGTCTGTAAAAAAAGTTGCAAAAACTGGGCAATTCCCTCCTAAAATTAATCTTTAGGATAACATGCATTCATTAAATGTTATACCTTCCTGTACATTTCTAGAGATGAAACTAAAGTAAAGCATTTCTATCCCCTTTCATTTTGAGAGCAGAGTCAGTTTAGGGAATTCAAGATAGGGTTAAAGTGGTAGTCTTTAACTTAGGACAGGTAGTTTGGTGTTTGTCTGAATTTACAATGAACCCCCCCCCCCAAAAAAAAAAGTTGATGTCCTGGTTCTAGAGTTACGATGATAGCACACAAACAAATGACCACATTTCCTGATCAAATGGCAAGTTAATATCTGTGGACCTATCTCACAATGACCATGGCATATAAAAGATTTGGGATGTAAGAAGATTAAATGGTAAAAAGAATTAATAGTTATTTAATAAGAAGAACAAAAGTTGCTTTATTAATCTAATCAAGGAGATATCCAATATAGAACTAAGGAGAAATTTCTTGACAGATAGAACAATTAATCAGTGGAACAACTTGCCTCCAGAAGTTGTGGGTATAAAAGAATAACAGAGGTGGAAGGGACCTTGTAGGTCTTCTAGTCCAACCCCCTGCTCAGACAGGAAACCCTAAATCATTTCAAACAAATGGTTGTTCAATCTCTTCTTAAAAACTCCCAGGGTTGGAGCATTCACAACTTCTGGAGGCAAGTTATTCCATTGGTTAATGGAAATCTATCTTTAGTTCTAGGTTGCTTCTCTCCTTCGTTTGTTTCCATCCATAGCTTCTTGTCCTACCTCCAGGTGCTTTGGAAAATAGCTTGACTCCCTCTGCTTTGTGGCAGCCCCTGAGATATTGGAACACTGCTATCATGTCCCCCCTTGTCCTTCTCTTCATTAAACTAGACATACCCAATTCCAGCAAACATTTTTTATATGTTTTAGCCTCCCTAATCATCTTTGCTGCTCTTCTATGCAGTCTTGCTAGAATGTTCCAATACTGGAGGTTTTTAAGAAGAGATTGGACAACAGTTTTTTCTGAAATGATATAGGGTTTCTAGCTTGAGCAGAGGTTGGACTAGAAGACCTCCAAAATCCCTTCCAACTCTGTTATTCTGTTATCTGTGTATTTATATGGCTACAAGAAGGATGGATTGCAAAGCCAGAAAAGAATGGAAATCTATAGTAGACAATGTTGAACTAAATTAGATTTTAAATAAAGGCATCGTTATTTGATAAACTTTATTATCAATCAAGAATAGTAAAATACCTCTTCCCAGAACAGCTATGGATTATTTTTTATAATTAGCTAATGTTTCACAAGGGGATGGTTATGGGTGGGTCAAAGTTCCGGCTGGAAATGGAAATCAGAAACATATCTAGCATACCATAGTTTTAAGTTTATGTCCAATATGTACAATATTTTTCTGGCTTTAATAATGTCAAAAATGTGTAAATGCATCCACTCAATTATTATTCAAAGTTTTAAGTAGCGTTTTCTAATAGTTTGACTTTCTTATCAAACTCTTCTAGTCAATTAAATAGTGAAAAATAGGTTTCTGTACAAACCATTAGCACTGTGTAGTACTGTTAAATATGATATGCCAGCCTTCCATAACTTGGAGAAGTTTATATAAACTCAGTTATAATTGTATCTAACTCTAATAAAGATTGCTCTAGAAAGGACAAAAATTTAGGATTTACATGGTAATAGCTGTACATGATATAGTCTTATTTAAGAACTATTAACCATTCCTATGAAGTCCAAAACATGGATCGTGTGATTGTGACTTTCAGTGCTTATTTTAAGCAATGATAATATTATTATATGATGCATTTATTGGTAAGAAAGCCCCACCAAGCACAAAGAAATTTGTTCTGGGTCCATTTAGATGAAATACATCTCAAATGTCTGATTTTCTTGTATTTAGAATACTACTTTGACCTCATCTTGTAAATTGCTATTGAAATGTTTGGCAGTTAATTATTATAGTTATTATATGGATTGTTAGGACATATTTAATAACATATGGATATTATTATAAGCAGTAAAATTATCTCATTCAGATCAATTTTCAAAGAAGTTATTAATATAATCAACATATAACGTGTTAAGTAGAAATTTATTTCTTACTTTGTGGAATGCATATTTTCGTAAAAATATCTAGAATGTAAGTGAAAAAGAGATCACTTTTTTAATTTAGAATATTTGGCCATGAACTCAAGTAGATTTCAAATGGTAATAATACAAAAATTATGCAAAATATTAAAAATGTATTAATTATACTTTTCTAGTAAATTACATGGACATGTATCTGTCTTTACTTGCTGATTTGATTTTCAGGATATTAAAGACCACATTATATATACTCTGGAATATTTTTAAATAGATGAATGCTATATAAAAAAAATTCAGAATGGAACTAAATATCTTTTAGAACTGGGAATTCATCTCATTAGCATGGAGGGATTTCAGCCTACAGTACTAAAATTGCAATTACAAACACGTATTGCATGAACACAATATTAATATTAACTGAATGTACATTGTTTTATTTCATGTATTGATTTTACCTTTTTACTTCCAAGTTTGTAGGGCAATGTCTAATATTATTTATTCAAGACTGCAAAGCTGCACTAATGATCTATGTTTGTGAAACCAGAAGACAATCTTAAAATGCTTTAGGTTATTTATTTATTTGGTTAAGTTAATACAGCTGAATTAACAAATAAGGATTATAGCAATAGCAACTCTAATGAAATTCAGGATGGAAAAATATTCTTCTGGGGCAAGAATGATAAGTTTGAGAATTATCTTGCTGTAGTAGAGTTTCTTTTATTTTTCATGATCCTTGTATACCACCCAGATTCACTTATATGAGATGAACAACCAGATTACTAAATAAATAAATAAGCAAAATAGTTTGTGCACATGGTTTTGGCTGAACACTTAAAAAAATGTTTTGCAAGGGAGAGGGCAGGATGGGAAGAACAGGTTAACAAGGGCAACAAATTGATCAAGATACTATTAAAAGTTTCCTTGAAGAGCAATTAAAATGTTAATGTTATGCACGATACAATTAAGTGAACAGAGGGAAATTGTTTTCATTTTTCTTACAATAATAGAAGAGTTATCCAGTACAGCTCAGCAGTGAGAGACTGAGGACAGACAAAAGATAGTGCTTCTTCAATAGTGCTTTGTTATACAAGGTAGTGATGAGCAGAAACCGTAATGGCTTCAAAGAGTAGGAATGAGGTCCATAGAATAGGTATTGTGATTGAAAAGACATGCCTCCTGAGTTCTGCCATGAGATAGTGTCTCATACAAGGGACCCAAAGCATGCTCGTCCTACTAGATCTTATCAGATAAGCAGTTCAAGATAGTTCAAGACAGATGGTTTCACAAACCATCCAGCTTTATGTCAAGAAATGCTTTATGGATAATAACCAGTATCTTAAATTGCATCCAGAATTCTATAGGGAATCAGTGCAGCTCATAAAATACCAGTATTGCATGGGCATACCAAGGTTCACCCCTACTTATTTACATTGCTTTATTTTGGACCAATTAAGTTTCTATGTGGTTTTCAGAAGCAGACCCATGCAAAACATGTTGCAATACCAAACTGGAAGTAACCATGGCCTGAGTGCCTGTGAGCAGGCTGACTGAATAACAGACACAACTGGCACACCAGATGGAGGTGTACAAAGATCTTCCTAGCCATGACCATTCACTTGTTCTACCAGGAACCAAGAGTCCAAGAGAAGCCCTAAATAGTACACCAGTTCTGTCTGAACAACTGTAACCCCTTTATATTATTGTTCAGCTACCTGTTGTTGAGATACTAAAGCACGTATCCTGCTTCCAATATCCACCTAATTGGAAACATAGTTTACTTGCATAGATCTTTGGTCTGACCCAGTAGAAAACCAACATATTTATTGTTCCTGTGGCTATACATGCTTTTATTCAAGAATGTTCTGAAGCTGATCAGAAATAGTTGTAAAGGAGAATTATACTATCAACATTCTTCTTTAAATCCTCCTGTTAAAAAAGTGATGCATTCTATGTGATGTGTCCTTGATCTACTTTTTTTGCAATAGATAAAGTGTGAAGGCTAACTAATGAGAGGAGCAGAAATCTATCACTATTGGAGATCTGACTCTCAGCAGTACTGACAGCCAGTACTGCCTGTGACCTTGAAATTATAAAATGCAAGTAGTCCTCGACTTACAACAGTTCATTTAGTGACCGTTCAAAGTTACAATGGCACTGAAAAAAGTGACTTGTGACCATTTTTCACACCTATGACCGTTGCAGCATCCCCACTGTCCTGTGATCAAAACTCAGACGCTTGGCAATTGACTCATACTTATGACAGTTGCAGCATCTTGGGGTCATGTGATCCTCTTTTGTGTTCTTCTGACAAGCACAGTCAATGGAGAAGCCAGATTCACTTAACAATCATGTTACTAATTTAACAACTGCAGAGATTCAGTTAACAAGTAGCAAGAAAGATCATAAAATGGGGCAAAATTCACTTAACAACTGTCTCATTTAGCAACACAAACTTTGGACTCAATTGTGGTCATAAATTGAGGACTACCTGTAGCTGGCAAGCTGGTAGGGCCATCTGCTGGAGCTTGCACTAAAAAAAATAAAGATAGAAGTTGTTTAATTTCATATTAAAAATTAAGGCACTGCTTTCAATTCTCATGAGATTGTATGCATGGAATGAGACTGGTATGTATATGGAAAGAAACTATAATTCTACTTTAAAAATGGATCAGGGCCAATATAAGTATAGAGGTATTTGGGATCTAGCTGTCATCCACTGTTTATTGGGAAGAAGTAAACCCATGATGATTCTTTCGTAAGACAAATTCCATATAAAGCATAAAAACTGAGACTAGTAATTATATCCCCATATTATTATTTCAGTTCAAAATGATATTAATTTCATACTGTGATCCATATCATATTTCTACAACTTCATTGCAGAAATGTATTAGGCATGCCTAAATATTTTGATATCAATGCAATTTTGTTCCTAGGGTTAAAAAGACTATAGGATTAATTTAATAACAATTAATTGCCAGCTTTATGGATAACGTATTATATATATTCATCTTTTTGCCATGAAATATGTAGTTCTCTGTAATGCATTCTAATTTTTAACTGCATAAGGTAATATCCTTCTTAATTGCTTCACAAAACTTGCAATATACTAGGTCAGTCTTAAAGCTGCTCTGCATAATACAGTGAATAAATATGAGAGCTTATATTAATTTCCATGAATGATTTAAATGCTGGTTTCCCCCCCCCCTCCTCCTATCTAGCTAGAATTATGTCATAGAAAGAGCCATAAAAATAAGCCAGAGTGGTATCAGGAGATTGTTCTCTGTCTAATAGTAACATTTTTCTAATGGTTTGCTAGAGGAAGAATAATAAAGGAGACTGTGGTTACTGCTTTAAAAATGAGAGATTTTTAGTTACAGAAATCATACCAGTGACTAAAGTCTACTAGATTAACTTCTAACATATGGTAAGTATTGGCTATCTGGCGTGCAGCCTTGCATTTCATTGTTGGAAAAGCATAGAAAACTGATTTTAGTAATGCCTTTGCTCATAGCAGCAGGGTATAATCATTTTTTTTTTAAAAAAAAAGAATACGGAATCAAGGATTAGCATACCGTGTAAGTTTAGGATTTATGGAAGGATGTCATATACCAGATATGTACATTGCTGTTAGATATAATAAGAAATCATCAGTGCCACACGTCACTCTTTTATAATTTTTCTGTGAATGTTAACAGTAAACTCGTTTGAATAGGCATCTGCCAGAGATTTATTTCTTAAAAAAACATTTAGAATTTCTTGACTATCTAACCATATGATTCCATTTATCATTTATTTTATATTATTTTACATTATGAATTAATTTTACTCCTTTCTTATATCAGTTCATCCTAAAATGCAACTGTCTTATCCACATTAATGTTGTCTGAAGCAAGGGCAGGCAGCATTTCTTCAGGGCTGAGGGAGAATTAGTTTTTGTTTATAAATTGTCCTCTGAGACTATCAGCAGCGACTTCTTGAGAGGGATATGGATGAAGTTATTGGCTTGTAGTGGGGGAGAGGGCTAAGGCACCTGGGGAAGTTCAATGCAGAATAGAATATTGTGCAAAGCAGAGCTTTAGCATGCCTATTTTTATTATTATTTTTGTCCAAAAATCACACTGCTACCAAATTTAGCCACATAATCATAATATTTCAATGGATTGCTCATTCTTGCTTGGGGGGGGCAGGGAGAGAGAGAGAGGGAAGGGAAGGGAAGGGAAGGGAAGGGAAGGGAAGGGAAGGGAAGGAAGGAAGGAAGGAAGGAAGGAAGGAAGGAAGGAAGGAAGGAAGGAAGGAAGGAAGGAAGGAAGGAGACAGTGAAGTAAGATGTAAACCTCAGTGCAGACTGAAGGGTTAACTGTGTTGTCATATAGCATTTAATAAAGTTAGGGGAACTCATCTGCTAGCTTGCAATTCTGGGTTTCAGCCACACAGATAACCCAGATAATTTCATCACAGTCTTCTTAATTATAATTGCTATACCATTATAGAAAGGAAATCCAATCTCAAAGGAATCTTGTGTCGCATTTCCTCACTTCTCAAGCATCACAAAGTTAATATTTATTATTCATTCATTCATTCATTCATTCATTTGAGTTGTGTGCCACCCATCTTATTAGAAGTGAACATGATGCCCAGCGCCTCTCTGGGAAAGGAAACCAACCCTCAGAGGTCTCTCAGATCTACAATTACATCAGTGGTGGGATTCAAATATTTGAACAACCAGTTCTCTGTGTGGATACTGCTTCCTGAAGTCCATTCTGGGCCTGGACAACAAAAAATTAGCTACCAGTTCTACCAAACTGGTGTGAACTAGTTGAATCCCACCACTGAATTACATTATATTAATAGTGCTATTCAATGCATATCTATTCCGAGGTAAGCCTTCTTAAATTGAATGAAACAAATTAAACCCTGTGAGAATTCTGAGTAAACAAGTATCTGAAATATTTTGGTCACATCAAGTAGTGCTCTTTTAAAAGAAACTAGTTACAGTGAAGTAGATTCAGAGTGCAATCACGAATATGGGGAATCAGGGGACATAGAAACCATGGCTCATGAAGAAACATAGACTTTCTAAAAAGGAGATTGGTGGAAGAAATGACAAGGTCTTCCAGGTAGCTGAAAAGCAGCTAGAGCCCCATGTATCTTCAAACTGGTCATTTCATAAGCAGTTTCTCCAATTTCTTCCATTGATGTTGTTTTCTCTTTGTCCTTGACAGCATTATGGCTCCAATATTATACTCACACTTGTAGCATTATGTGCCATTACCACCCCATTGTAATAGATCACCCTAAGTTAGACCACTTTAAACTGGTGAAAGAAGGTATAATGAAGTTTATGTGGGTCTTTCTCTGTTCCCAGCCTGTCAACCTGTTACAATCTGTTTCCATTTTTCTGTGACAAATTCCTGTCTTTCTAGAGTATATATGGGTAAGACAATGTGCTTCCCTCAAACTAAGTCTCTTGTTCACTGGTTATTTACTTGTCTCCCAAACTTTCCTCAAGTAATTTATGGCCAACTAATAGACCATGAATAGTGCTTTCTCTGCCAAAATCTCATTTCGAACTGCATTTATTGTCCTTTGTGTTTTCTACCATTTGAGACTTAAAAATGTTTTAAAGCTGAAATACATTCCATAATCCATCCAAATCAGTTTGCTATTTCCTCTATGGCTATTCCAAACTGTTTAGAAGAAATATATAAAACAGAGAAAAGGTAGAACTCTACTATATGGTCCCACCAGGAACTTGTTCAGTAAAGCATTTGCAAACAATTCAAATCACACAAATAAATATGAACATGAACTTGAATCAGGCCTGATATCAGTATTTTGGAGTGCAATTTTATTTTTAAGCATTATGATATTTTACTACTATTACCCTACACTTATTCTCATTGGATCATAAGTTTTTTCACAAGTGGAATAGTATTTCCAGTGTTATGATGGAACAAAGCATGTAAAATTTCACTCATGTAGTATTACATTAAGTGTCATTGCTTTAAAACTTACTGTCTTCTATTTTTCCTAGATCTGTCCTAACGATTCTTGCTAATGGGATCCAAAAAATCCAGGCAGCTAATTCATCACACTCAAGGTAAGCTCTGAGATTGTATTGAAAAATTCACTTCATGGGAATCAAGGAGTTAGGGGACAAATAAATGTTAAATGTGTATCACAATATTGTGATGCAAACTCTGCCATTTTGTACTTGCATTGAGACATCACAAATAGATCTGGAAGGGATAGAACTCAGATCATAACATCTTAGTTCCAGATGCACAGGCCCTTGTGTATACAATATAACAATGTATTGTCATGGTGATGCAGTGGTTAGAATGCAGTATTATTACAGGCTAATTCACTGCTAACTGCTCAGGAATTCAAGGTTGATTCAGCCTTCTCTGATTGTTGGGGGCAATATGTTGATTCTAGAGAGGGCTGTGAAATATATAAGTCTAAGTGCTATTGCTATTTCTACTTTAATTCATTACACTAATTATCATCACTCTTGTTTTATTATAGGAATATAGGAAATTCCCATTTTTAATGTGGAATTTAATATAAATAGCATTGTTCAATGATGCTTCTTAGAAATAATTCACTACCAATTTCACAGAGGATATGACCACAAGAGTTCAATAAAGTATTTCAAATGCTGGCCTGATATTAATTTTCTATCCAAGTTATATTTTTCTTTAAAAAAAAAAAAGATTCAGAAGCTTCCTTAACTTTTTGGAAAATTCTGATCTCTTGAAGTAGGGACTACATTTCTTGTTTTACCTTAAATAAATAATATTACATGCCTGACTTAGGAAATCTTTGATTTCTCTTGTATCATATCGCTTTATTGATATAAAACTTTTAAATTAATTCAGTAATAAAATAATTATGCATGAACATATTGCTAAATAGGAAAACAGGATGTTTAAGATGTTATAAATTGATTTTTGCACTACTATTAGTTGCAAAAACCTTTATTGACCTCTTCCATAATATTTATTTTCCTGATTCCTGGGCTTTTCAAAAAACTAGTTGATTTCTTCAACTCTTGTGATCCTAAGAACAAACCTGTCATAAAAATGTGCAATCATCTGTACTATAGGTCTAAAGTACACAAATAGGAGAAAGAAAAAGAAGGACATCTCCTGAACCTTTTTATAATCGTTTTCTCTGAATAAATATCTTGCTGGGTTTCAAACCTGGCCACAGTTCTCTGTTTATATAAAAGATGTAATTTCATTTACGCACAAAATTTCAGAGCCCTGGGTGAAATTGCAATTATTTGAAACAAAGGAAATGTAAAAAGTAGTAACTCAAATGATAAAATATCCTGATTATATAGCATTATACAAACTCGCTCTATTGAAGAAATGTTTAGCATCCTAGTGGTTGCCTAGAGAGAAAGTGTTTTATGAATTATGTAATTGCAAAGGTCAAGTATAAGCAATGCAGACAACCTGCTGATAGGTGTAGGATGGCAGGGAACAAAATGGTTCAATAGTTGAAGAAGGAAGTTACAGA